ATATGAGCGCTAGAAGATTAGAGGTGTTACAAGAGAGTAACAAACATAAAAAAGAAGGAGGGGAGATAAGGATGATAGATATGTTTGATAGGAGGAAAGAAGAAGCAATCCACACCAGAGCACCCGCCAACCACCCACTCAGAGCTGTTAACTTTCACGAAATGTCATAGGTCGCAAAAACAAGAAACGGGTCTCGACCACGCACGATGCACAGGAATATAACGCAATTCCCATCAAAAGCAACAAACGTGAGAGAAAGAGAGGACGAGACAGAGATGACAACAACAATAGACAATCAACTGAAAACTTTTATCGATTGAATATTGTGTCCCTCCCTCCCGGCTCCAGCCGGCTGTCCCGCGTCAAACTAGTGACGGCACCAACGTTATAACTGCAACAACAACACAACACAACACAACAACAACACTACCGTGTAGACCGGTAGTAAACACCCGAGACGACGGACACACATTACAGCGCAATACGGAAACAGACAGAAAGAAAGAAAGAAAGAAAAGAAAAGAAAGAAAGAATGAATGAAAGAAAGAAAGACAGAAAGAAAGACAGAAAGAATGAAAAGAAAGAAAGAATGAAAGAAAAGAAAGAACGAAAGAAAGAAAAGAAAGAACAAAAGAAAGGAAGAAAGAAAAGAACGAAAGAAAGGAAGAAAGAAAAGAAAGAAAAGAAAAGAAAGAAAGGAAGAAAGAAAAGAAAGAAAAGAAAAGAAAGAAAGGAAGAAAGAAAAGAAAAAAAAGAAAGGAAGAAAGAAAAGAAAAGAAAGAAAGAAAGAGGCAGGCAGGACGCCCTGGAACCATTTGCAACTTAATACCAAATTAACTGGCAAAATAGCTGCATAAATCGCGAAATGAAATGACCCAAGGCAAAAACCCAAACAGACATTTTTTATCTTTTTTTCCTTCCCTCAAATGACGAAAAGAAATCAACAAAACCCAAAACAAAACATTAGTGATCAGCAACCCTATAGCTCTTTCTCCATCCATCATTCCACTCCTTTTTTCAAAGTTTTGCTTCAAATAAGATTTCTATCTTTTTTCCCTTGCAGAAATGTAATCCCACAAGAGTAATTCTAGACACATTACACGGGGATATACCATCTCCTGAACCCC